GAAGAATGAGCAATGTGAATTACCAATTTAATTTCTACAATATCACCAATCCTAAAATCTGAAACTAGTCTCATCATCTATGTTACTTCATTTACTATTTTATTTAATATCTACTCAGAAAATAACAATCATGCCATCAAATTAAACAGAAAATTAATCAGTCACACATCTTTAAAAAGATTCTCAAACCAACAGAGCAAAGTTAAGCTTTTTTATTGAACAACTCAACCATTAATTTTCTATTTAATTTTTCAACCTTAAAAAAAGGGCCTCGAAAAATCTTTTGAAGACTTTGAAAAAATAAAAAAATAAAATGCTTTGAAAAAATTAAAAAAGAGCAAAAACATGCTATGTAAATCATATTAGTTTTTAAATACTATGTAACAATAAGAAGTTTAATAAAGAAACAAAAACAAACCAAATGACAACAAATAAGAAAAAAGTGAAGAGGAATTATAAGTGTTTGTTTGATACAATTAAAAGCACCATATGCAGAAGAAATGGCGTCATTTGTCTATTGTCCACCCATGAAGGGAACATTTGCTATAATTTCACCAGTTGAAGGGTTGTTAACCTGCAAATACAATCGAAATAGATTTAAGTAAAAGATGGAAACAAATATAAAAAAAAAGCTGAAAATTGTGGTAAGAAACTTGAAAAGTGTTGCCATCGTGGGTGCTAACTCATTTTCCTTATTTTAAACCCCGGCTTTGGAATATATGGGGATTTTTAAGCCCGTCAACGATACTCATATGATGTAAAACAATAAGATGTAATTAAAAAAAAACTTATCAAGGAAAAGATTTGTTTTGAAAAAAACTAATGTAAATGCATTTGGATTTAAGACAAGAGAAAACTAGGCGAAAGGCATAGGGGTAGTACATATGAAGCAAATTTGATGAGACAATCTTGCAAAGTGGCGAATGAGCTACCCTCGTTTTTTCAACTTTGATTTTTGCAATTATAGTTATACAACCAAACAACCAAAGTTAAAACATCCATATGTCAAAAATAACTCAAATTAATAGTTAAAACATTACCAAAAAAAACTCACAAAAATGAAGGAAAAAACATGAAAATAAAAGAACAAGCTAACCTTTTAACAAAAAAAAAATTAATTACTAATCTAAAATTTTAAAAAAAATCACTTAATAGAAAAAACTGACATGCACAAAAAAAAAATCAAAACACAAAAATGAAACCCACAAAATACAAAACAACAACATGAACAATGCATGAAAAACAAAAACAATAAACTGAAGAACAACTCAAATAATCGATTCAATAGTCTTGAATTTACCATCAACGAAAAAAATCCAAAAAATGAAGAACAGACACATAAGAAAAAAATAAACCCAAAAAAAAAAAAGAATAAACATACTTAAAAAACCCAAACAAAAAGAAGCAGAAACAGAGTTAGAAAGAGAATAAAAGCCTGAAAACAAATAAGAACAGAAATGGAATTACCAAACTTAAGCTTAAAACAAAACTTATTCCCAAATTAACCTAACAATCCTTTTTAATGACATTGCTCCCATTGTCAACGTTAAAATTTAAAGGAAACAATTATTATGTATACTTATAGATTATGAAATTTTCGTATAATTTTTTATTTTAAAATTTTGTGTTTTACAAAATTTTGATGCTATGATCTAATAAAAAAATTATCTTTTTATTTTTTAATTTTTATGTAGATAAATATAAATATAACATATCAAATCACATGCAACACGTGATACAAAATCTAATATGTTTAATAGTGTTATACAACACGTCTAATATGTCTAACAATATTAGCAATATTCTTATCAAAAGAATAAAATAACGCTTATTTGTGATAAGACCAATATTGCACATGATGTAGTTAAATTAGTAAATTATTTTTTTGGTGTTAGTTAAATTCATTGCCTTATATGGATAAGATTGTGTGATCATGTAAAAAAAAAGAAAGAAAAGAAATGATGATTTCATATGGATAGGATTATTTAAAATAAAATAATATATTATTATGATTTTACTATTTTTTATTCTTATTAAGCGAGAATGTGAGCGTTACTATAGTCAATTTTTTTTTATCATTCATATTCGTCGATTTTTTTTTAAATTTACTTAATTTTAAAAAAAAAGCCTATCGGATATTGATTTTATCAAACAAAAATGTTATGGGTTATTTTTTTGTCGTTTTTTATTCATTATTTTTTAAAAACTTTATCTAATTAAAAAAAATGAAAAGTAAAAAAACCCAATAAGAGTGACACGTTAATACTTAAATTGACCTCCTATGATTGTAAAATATATCAAATTAAAACGTAAAAATCTCAAACAAAAGAAATTGTAAAAAAAAAAGCAAAAAAATAATAAAATGAAAAAAGTTAATTGAAGGTGTCACATAAAATTTTCTATTGAGTTTAAAATATTAATTTTTTAAATTAAATTATTAAATAATAATTTTATTAAAACAATACATATATATATATAATATAATTAAGTTAATAATAAAATATATATTTTTATATATCCTAAAATGAGTTGGGATAAAATACTAAGAATACACTTTTGCCTTAATGTGGCATCTTATAAAAAAAATTAGGACCGTTTCAATTTAAATGCAATTTAAAAAATTCACCCCTATGAAATTAGGATGAGCGAAACCGTTAGATATATATTATTTGATATCTTTATCAATTAATACATTTGTTGTAAAATTATTTAATTAAAAGTAGAAAAAAGACAAAAAAAAAAAAGCAAAATAAAGTACTACGTGTACATTTCTATTGCCTTATTTTTAACAAAATTAATTTAATAAAAAAACAAAAATAAAAAAAAAAGAAAGAAGTTTATTGGGGGTAGTATTTAAAATATTAAATAATAATTTATTTAATTAAAAATAAAAAATAAAAAAGAATGTCATGTGCACACAATCATTTTATAAATAATCTTATTTTAAAGAAAAAGAAAGGAAGAAAAAAGGAAAAGAGGAAAAGATGAAAAGATGAAAAGAAAAAATGGAAGAAAGTTGAGTTAGCACGTTATATTTGCAATGATGATATTTTCTTAAAAGATTTATAGCATTGATTTAAAAAACAAAAATTAAAAAAAAAATAAAAACGAATGAACCAAAAAAAAAAATTTCTTGACGTGATATTAACACCTTCTTTAAGATTATTTAAAAATCATCAAATTAAAAAAATAAAAATATATATAATAAATAATCATATTAAATGGACCCATATTAAAATTTTTAAAAATAAAAAGATAAAAAGTAAATTACAAAAAAATACAAAAGCAAAAACATGGAGTCAAATGACTTGACATCATATATACCGTTGATATCAAGTAAATCTTTAAAATTTAAAATATAAAAATTATTTATTAAATATATTAAAATAAAAAGGAAAAAAAAAAAAATAAATACATGACATAATATTAATATCTAGTAATTCATACAAAAATTAAAATTTAAAAATCTCTATTAAATGTTAAAAAAATAAAAAAGAGTAAAAAAATTTTGATAATGTATTTCACACATAATAAAATAAAATATTTTAAAAAATATTTTTTATAATTTTTAAAATATTTTAAAAAATAAAAAACAGAAAAACAAATTAAAAAAAAATGAATGTAACATGTTGCAGTAAAAAAAAAAAAAGAAACTATGCTCTGTACATTACCAAAATTTAATATTTAGATAAATAAATACTAACGATATTGCAGCTTCAACATGCCAGCTGAAAAGGCAAATACCAATCAATGAGTTTTTTTTTCGTACAAAAGGATATTTTAAAATCTTTATTCTCTAAATAAAATAATTTTGAATTAAAATTTTCAATATTCGATAATTACTTTAAATTTTAATTAATCTAAAATTAAATTAGATTTCATAAAAAAATAAATTTTATAAATTTATTTTCTTTACGAAATTAATATTTTACTTAAAAAAATAAATTTTTTATCATTTTAATCAATAAACATTTGTAATAATTTTAAACTTTTTCTTTAAACGAGGTACATTAGCTCCATGTCACATATTTTGACTAAATGGACTCCACATCAGCATTTTTTTTCTTCAATCTTGTTTCTTCTTGTCTTGGTTCTTCTCTGCAAGATTGTAACCGCTTGTGTTTTTTTTTTTTAATCTTGGTTTTTTTTAAATCATTCTCATAGTATCAAAATCTTATCAAATAATAATAATAATAGATAAATTAGTTATAGTTTCAAATATACGCCTAGTTTTGATTTACAAAAATTTACAGTGTAAAAAATTTCTCACATAGAATACAAAAATATTAAATTGTATACCAACTATCTTTCAAGTTTTCCATACTATTAAATCATCAAAAGCCAATGGCATTGATTGAAAGGAAGTCTTTGTCTATGTAAGAGCCTCATTCAACTGTTTAATAAGATTATCTTCCTCAATTAAAGTTTTAAATCTTAAACACTAAAGACATTAACAATAGATGAATTTGTCTCAGCTACAAATAAACTCAATTTAAGTTATAAATCAATAGCTCCATCCGTATTCTTATCCTTATTGTACGTAGGCAGTAAAAGATCTCCCAAAAATGTTTCAATAAAATTATCTTGAAAAATTGCAACAAAATACCAATCCTCCATATGAGAAAAAACTCTAATTATGGAACTTTATTTTAGGTTTAAGTTTAAAAATATTTTAATTAAGGAATTAAGGTTATAAAGTGCCTTGGGTAGAGAAAAACCTCACCAATCACTGGCGTCGCGATGGTCAACGCGAACTCAGCTGAAAATATTTGTACTAACCAGCACGTGAAGCCCATGCCAAAAAGAAAAAAAAAAAGAAGAAACCACACCACTTCCACCGGCTCCGTCCATCAACCAACCCTTCAAAAAAATCAAATCCCATCGAGGGTAGAATTTTCAACTCTAAATACGGCTCCCCTCAGCCTCATTCAATCACGTCCCTTACCGTCCAATGTCCTAGCACATGCTCATTTTCTCTCTCACCCACTACATTTCTTTTCTTTATATAGTAAGCAAGTTTGGGTTTTTACAATAAAGTAATAGAAAAAGGAGGAGTGGCCGTTTCTTTCTCAATTAAAGTATACCATTAACAAGTTCATCATCAGATCAGTTGGTAGAAAAAGTAACGATGGTGGAAACTAAATCTCAAGGAACCCCTACACTCTTTTCTCCTTACAAGATGGGCAAATTCAATCTTTCTCACAGGTTTGTCCACCGTCCAACTTTGACTATTCTGTCTGTGATTCAGTCTATCGTTTTTGCATCAAATTCCGTGATCCCGGAGCCGCCTTAGATCCTTGTCTCCAGGAAGCTTTTATTTCGGACATGTTCCGCCAGATCTCCTCGGATTCTATAGAGCCGAGATAAATACGGATGACCAATTTTGTTGATTTCATCCAATATTTTTCTATTAACGTGTGTCCTTGAATTTAAGAGGAACTTTGACGGGTTGTGGTGGCTTGTTGTGTCTGATGGCAGGGTGGTGCTGGCGCCCATGACGAGATGCAGGGCGTTGAATGGAATTCCAAGGCCGGCGCTTGCTGAATATTATACGCAGAGGTCGACTCCTGGCGGTTTTCTCATTACCGAAGGAACATTGGTCTCCAACACTGCAGCAGGGTAATTTCGTAACTCAATTTTGACAACGAAAGCTCATATGAGTCACTCGCATTATTCTAGCAATAGTGGCTGCTGGGTCCATTACCCCCAACTTAGTGCTTTTTAGGGCCCACTAAGTCTTCTGTTACCAATCAGATTGGATTGCTCGTTGCTGACATTGGACCTGTCATCTGATCCAGACATTGCTCCAAAATAAAATTTAATCATGGCATGTTTAGTGGACTAGTATTTTTCTTTTTTTTGGTTAGACATTTTGTTTATTGTTACTGTTATATTAGTAGTGAATAGTAATGTTTGTTTCTATTGCAGTAATGATTATTTTGTTCGGATTTGATTATTCTTGAATTCAATTTTCTCTGCAAATGAATAAGAATCGCTTGTCTTTTGTTGTTGTATTGTTTGGAGTTGCAATATTTACTTAAATTATGGACAAATATAGTTATTTTGTATATGAAATTATGGCACCCTTGTTAAGCTTTCGACTCTTTTCATGTTAACAGAATAGTTGTCCTAAAATATAATCGTTTTCTCACATTTATTTCATGGTTTTCACTCTTAGCTCTATATGTTTTTAAGAGCATTTCCTTTAACTATAGCATTTGTCTGGTGTTGCAATGTTGAAGCAGGTTTCCACATGTTCCTGGGATCTACAATGAAGAACAGGTGGAGGCATGGAAGAAGATTGTGGATGCTGTTCATGCCAAAGGAAGCATCATTTTCTGTCAACTATGGCATGTTGGCCGTGCATCTCATTCGGGTAACTTCCCGAATCCTTTGGTACACTTTTGCAGTTCAATCAGCTAATCCACAATATAATTCATATACTACGTAGTGGGATTAAATTAAGTGTTATTCATTTTTCCTTTTTTTGGGTTTTTGACTGTTGAGCATTTATTCAAATGTTTTATTGGTTATTTGACTAATGAAATAGTGTACCAACCTGGTGGAGGGGCACCAATTTCATCAACAAGCAAGCCCATCTCAAATAGGTGGAGAATTCTTATGCCAGATGGGAGCTATGGCATATACCCAAAACCTCGAGTTCTTGAAATCTCAGAAATACAAGAGGTTATAGAGCACTACCGCAAGGCAGCATTAAATGCCATTCGAGCAGGTTAGATTAAATATTAATCTTCACTTTCTATTGGCAGAATGTCCTGAAGCAGTATTCATTTTAATTTACGGGTTCGATGGAGGCCTCTAGACAAGGTCATTGTTTTATTCTTAAATAGCAAGCTGAATTTAGAAAAAAGACAGTTATGTTTTATTTTTGTCAAAAGGATGGTGTCTGCTTTATTAAAATTTAACTAGGGGTGCATGGAGCCATGATTTCTTTCCAAAATAGGGATCTTTCTTATGCGATTTAGTAAAATGGGATACATTAATGGCTATGATTATGTCTCCTTTATAGTGGCTACATATACTCAGCATGGTCATGATGTCACATTTCATTATCCAACTAACTAAAACACTACTTTAACATAAGAGCTTGACTTCTGTCTATGTCCGCTTGTTAGTACAAAGACCAAGCCGTTCAGTCTTGGCATGTACTTGTCAGTGATGATCAATATCTTGAAAAACTGTGCCATACAACTTGGAATTTTAGCAGTGTATCCTTCCCCTTGGACCTGGGAGAACTTGTCGTTGAGCAGAGAAATATTTACTTCTGAAAGAAGTTCTGAGCTACATTTAGGAATTAGAATGGTGATAGAATTGATCCGTTAATTAGCATATAAACTAACATCAGATGTTACTGTGAGCTATTTTTTTCCTCCTCTAGTTCACTTTTCTTATTTTCAAGAAAAAATGTATAATTTTCCTTATTACTATGTTCTTATGACACCAATTTAAAGCATATAAAATTGTTAAAACTTGCAGGTTTTGATGGAATTGAGATTCATGGAGCACATGGCTATCTCATTGACCAATTCTTAAAAGATGGGATCAATGATCGCACGGATGAGTACGGTGGATCATTGGGAAACCGATGCAAATTCTTAATGCAAATTGTTCAAGCAGTAGCTGCAGCCATTGGTGCAGATAGAGTTGCTGTCAGAATTTCGCCTGCAATTGATCACCTTGATGCAATTGACTCTAATCCACTCAACCTAGGCTTGGCAGTGGTTGAGAGACTTAACAATCTCCAGCTACAAATGGGGTCAAAACTTTCTTATCTTCATGTGACGCAGCCTCGTTATCATGCTTATGGGCAAACAGAATCAGGCAGACATGGTAGTGAAGAGGAGGAAGCTTATTTAATGAGGACTCTAAAGAGGACTTATCAGGGAACTTTCATGTGTAGTGGAGGATTCACTAGGGAGCTGGGAATCCAAGCTGTGGCGGAGGGTGATGCGGATCTGGTATCATATGGGCGTCTTTTCATCTCAAATCCTGACCTAGTTTTGAGGTTGAAGGTTAATGTGCCATTAAATAGGTATAACAGGAAGACATTTTATACTCAGGATCCTGTTGTTGGATACACAGACTATCCCTTCCTGAGTAAAGACAAAGGTACCCAAGGACAGTCACGCCTTTGATGTGAAATCGCTATTTTTTGTTTAATCTCTAATTTTCGGCACATAAGTAGGTTAAAATTATGTATGAAAGATAAAAATTCTGTTATGAAACCTATGCTTCTTTATATATAAATTAATTTCTGATTTAGCTGCAGCTAGTTTGTACATACTTCTTATCTATCCTATAACCTTTAACAGATCCTTGGCTACCATATTTTAGCTGAGTTTCAAGTAAAGAAATTCTAGGTGAGGCTTAAAAAACGGGTAACTACCTTGTTTAGATCAAAGGAGTAAATGTGTGGATTAAGCAGGTTTCACGTTGGACTGTACAAGTCCTAAGTATTGCTAGTTAGGAAAAAGAGACTCAAAATGTTTCTGCAGCTTGGGGCTTCAGTTCATTTGAGATTTTCATTGAACAAGGCAAGAGAAGACAACAAAAATTACCACCATGTAAGTGGCTAGGCCCGATTGTCTAGGATCATAAGGTGAAATCCCTCTTATAATAAGAATCTGAGGAATCAGAACGTCTGAACTCTGAAGGGTGGTAAGAACTAAGAAGCTCCCAAAGTGCCCAAATACATCACAGAGGTCATTCTTTTGGTTTTTAGCCTTGTAGGTGTTGCATTAGTGGCTAAACGAATTGGCTGGCACTAGTGGGGACAGGAAGCATGGGCATCGGGGGAGACTGTTTCCTCTTTTTTTTTTTGTTTTTTTGGGTGCCCTTAGAAGATCTCAACAATACTAGGACATCAAGAGACGTCGCTAGTAGTACGTAGACGGCATAACAGTGAACTATGGTGGCTATCTGAGGGTTGAAAAGGTCATGAAATGCTGCTATGAAATTGAAAATCAGCTACGCAGGAGTTAGATTCACAGTTGGACGTCAATGTAGACAGAATAGATTTTGAAATCCAAATCCACCAGAAATCTTTCTTGATTTATTATAAATGAAGTTTCAACTTGTATGGATGCTTATGTTTCCTAGACATTCGAAATCGTTTTACTAGTTTGTCTTTGTCCTGCTGTAATTACCTTAGACATTAGCTGAGAGATGGCCAAGTCATTATTTACACTGAATTTGATTTCACTTACCTTAGCCTGGTTTCTTCATTGCTTTCTCGATCTTGTCGTTAGTCAAACCTAACATGTGTTGCACTATGTGAATCAAGAAAAACGCTCCACAGAAAGTTCAAATGTAATCCAAAGGAAAAACCTTCAGTGATGATGATACAACAGTAACAGGAGGATCCTATTTTACAGCTAGAAAATGAATTGGCCTGGCTCTGACCCTTCACTCATTGTCAATCCTTATCTCTGCTGCCACTTTTAGGGTGTGGGGGGACAACTGGTGATTTTTGTTTTCACAGTCATGCGTTAGGAACCGCTAGCTTTACTTGTTGGCAGATGAGATATTTACTTCAGCTGGAAGATTCCTATTTTGTTCCTTGATTCTTGTTGGCTTGAGCTTGAGAGTTGAGACAATAACCATCAACTCATTTTAAAATTTACATCAGAAACACAAAATCCTGAAGAAGTAGAATGACTTGGACTTCCTTATTTCAATTAGATCAGTTGTTTTGGAACAGAACTTTTTGTAAGCAGCTCTTCTCTAAGCACTTTGTGTGTGTTTAACCCAATGCTGAACTTTGGCGAGGTTCCTTTACTATATGTGGGAAATTTGTGACATGTAATGCTCAAACATAGCGAAGGAAAAAAAATAAAAAACTCAGAGGTTTCTGCATATTGTACTTGCAATTAAATGTAATTAGGAGACTTGCAGGGACTCTAACCAGCTGTCAAAATGTCTTCTATTGCCCTAGCTTCACTCCCTTCCAACGTGCCCGTGGAGCCAAGGGACCACCTTTTGGTATTTCTTCATACTCGTTCGAATCTCTACCACGTAATCAAATATCTTGGTTTTCCATGCTACTTAAGCCTTAATAACAGGCTACATTGATCATGTGCTATTGTCTAATATATTAAAAACTTCAAATTGCTGCTTGCAAATATTTTTTTGCATAAATAGAGGAGCCGATGGACTTAAGAGAATCTGTCCAATTATGCAGGATGTCGCTATAAATCTAGCATCTTCTGAATGTTGCTGATAGCAATTGATGGATGGTTACACCTACTAGTTCTCATTCAAGGAAATAGAAGTCTTGCCTTTGATTGCAACGTTAATGGTACGCAAGAAGCAATGTAAATTCCTGTTTCATTGATGCTAGCAGATAGTCCGAGGCTAATACCCTAGTTGCTACTAGGTTCATGGTCATGCCTGAAGCCTGGCTGCGTTTATAAAATGATACAGAAGAAAAAAACTTCAGCTGAAGAAAGTTATAAAATGTGTGAGAAAACTAGGTGAAATGATTCAAAATCACTAATCGATTTCAAATTACAGATCAAAACACAGTCAAGAAATGAAAGTTACCCGCAATAATTGGATGCGAAAGATATTTTTCCCCTGCTCTTGCTTTTCGTAACGGAAAGAGTATTCTTGTTGTTACTGAGAAAAACTTTACCACTAATTCACATGCATCATTCCTGAAGATCTGTCGTTTCTCACACATGAAATCATTTTCATCATCACGTGAAAGTGTACATGGGCATATCTCTAATCAATAACTAAAGGTGGTAATTAATTTGATGGATGGATTGGATTGTTTTGAGTTGAAGAAAACCAATTGCAATGTCTCAAAATATCCACAGTTTCCCGTTCTATATAAAGGGTAACAAATTCCCTTCGAGCATAGCATAAAAGATGGCAAAGATGCTTCTCCCTATCTTTTTCATTTTTTCTTTCTTATTCTCTTCCTCCAATGCATTAGACTTCTGCGTTGCAGACTTAACGGCCCCTCAAGGCCCTGCAGGCTACTCTTGCAAGAAGCCTGAAGTAGTCACCACAGACGATTTTGTTTTCTCAGGCCTTGCTACTGCAGGCAACATCTCAAACCTTATAAAAGCTGCTGTAACACCAGCATTTGATGCTCAATTTCCAGGTGTTAATGGACTTGGCATTTCCATGGCTCGTCTGGACTTTGCTGTTGGTGGAGTGGTGCCTATGCATACACACCCTGGGGCTTCAGAAATCCTCGTTATAATTAAAGGGACAATTTCTGCTGGATTCGTATCCTCAGCCAACAAAGTTTACTTCAAAACTCTCAAAACGGGAGATATTATGGTTTTCCCCAAAGGTTTATTGCATTTTCAAATCAATGCAGGTCAAACTCAAGCATTGGCATACGTATCCTTCAGTAGTCCTAGCCCTGGTCTCCAGATCCTTGACTTTGCCTTGTTTGGAAATGATTTGCCTTCTGACATTATAGAAGAGACTACCTTCCTCGACGATGCTCAGGTTAAGAAGCTGAAGGGCGTTCTTGGAGGAACTGGTTAAGATATCTAAATCTATGGAGGTTGTTTTTCTCTTCCATAATCTTGTGCATGATTCCCTGGTTTCTTGCAAATTGTCATGTAATTAAAAACTGTGCAAGCATAAGTGTCTTCCAGTCAACGGTAGTTTGCTTAATTACTAGCAAACAGTCTAGTTGTACTTCTTTGTATTCCTTCCAAGCTCAAATAAAAACAACCATTCCCTGAAGGCAAATTCTTTTCCTCCCTGTCTGCAAATCTTAAATAAATGGATTTTGGGAGTGCAATTTTGAGGTTAGAATGGAATATTGCACTGAGAGAGAGCTTTCCAAAGATCACCTCATTAAGAATTTTTGGGATGATCATATCCGCTGGAAAGATTTTTTCTTTTTTTTTTTATAATGATGTTGTAGCTTAAGAATAACTGAATGAATTATAAGTATTGGGATTTTAATTTAAACTTATTGAATGCGGGTGATTACATGAACTGATTAAGTTAAATTATGAATTTGATAAAAAATGTTATGATTGAATGTTGTTCACAATTAAAATTTAAACTAAAATATTAAAAAACTCTTGCATTTTTTTCAAATTTTATAGATAAGGCCTTTTCTTTTTATTGTAACAAATTAAACTTTTAAAATATTACTTTTAATTAAAAATGGATTCCTTTAAGAATTTGTTGTCTCCTTTCTTGTCCATTGGTGTTATTTTCATTAATCAGTAATCAAGAGAAGGTTTATCCCATTTAAAGTAAGTATTATTTATGAAAATGAGTGATAGTTGCTATTTGAGGCTTCCATGAGGCACCAACAGGAGTTAGCCACATTGGTTGACTGACTTCCATATAGATTTAAATGACTATTGTGCATTTGTTACTTGACATACAAATTGGGAAGTGAAATTGACATGATGGGAATATCCTTGAGGGCAAGAGCTGCCAATATTCACCAATTAAAAGGTCATGCTTTGTTCTGTACAATAAATAAATATAAACATGTGCATTCTGCATATCCATCCATCATTGGTATTTATTCACTATGTTGAATTCAAAACTAATTGAAACCATGTTTTTGTATTATTAACGTCCAGATGTAATACAATTCAATGAGTATCAAATTCTGATATTTCCATCAGTTATTCAAACTCTAACTTTGGCATGGGAAAAAGCCAACTCATTGACACAACCTAAACCAATTCTTTTAGAAAAAGAAAATAAAAGAAAATCTTTTTATGAAAATAGAAGGAAAATAGACAAAAAAATAAACAAAATTTTCTTTCTGAAGGATAGTTCCGTGGACAAAAAAGGATATCCACTCCACCAAATGAATATTTATCTTTCACCTGTATCTCTTGAGAACAGTATGCCTGACCTATCTGCTGTGGCCATTGATGATGAATTAAGGTGTTAGTTTACATGCTACCCAGGGAATTTCACCCTCAAGCAGGCATTTTTCAACCAATGAGTTGAGTCATGATTTTGAACGGTATTTACACGATTCCATCCTTCCGGAATGGTATGTCTGAAACAATGCCAGCACACCCTCCTTTTTAGCTGAGCTTTTACTTTGTAGCATTAAGATTTAAGACAAAATTGCAGAAGCTGTGTTTTAGCTTTCTAAATTTCTTCTTTTCTTTCACAGATGCATCCTGGAAGAGGATTTGCATAAAAACTCTCCTCCAGTTTTGGAAATTCTCCAGGCTCTCTAAGATACGGAGCTCCGGCTCGATCTTTATGAAGCTTTTTCACTTTGGAACTGAATTTCTTCCAAGAAATATTTCCCTCATCATATTCATCCACAAGTTTTACAAAATTCATCCTGCACCAACAGATTGATAATTGTTTTACATAATTTCGTCTGGAAATGACAATGATTAGATTCTATAAAACTATTCATTCAAAAAAACAATGGAAACAACCATACCATATCAAAAAGGTTAAGAATAGTTCCAATCTAATAGGTAGCAAGTTACCTGTCTGGACTGATAGTCTTCTTGAAGTTCTCAAATCGCCTATGTCCTTGAACTGCCTTTGCCATATTTCCATCATAAGTATAAACAAATACATCACTCTGAAGGGCAACAACATAGTCTAAACCAGCCAACATGTTCTTATGATTCTTGAAAGGATGCAACTCCTCATCTGTGGAGAGGGAGGAATGAGAGAAGATGTTAGGAAAATCCTCCTTAAGAGAATCCATACTTCCATTTCCATAAGCTTCACCAGCGACCAAGTAAATCGGAGTACTTGGTGGGAAACCCAATGCTCTGAGCAAGAGGGAAGTCTCCCTAGGGGTCAGTGGACAGCCACCAAGCAATCTTCTCTCTGTTCCATTAATCTCTTTCTCCTTCCAATGGCTGACTTCATAACGCATCCTACGTAGCTCATCATCTTCTTCTGCTGTCAAGCTATGACTGCAGCCAGTAAATGCAAGCATATCCTTCTCATGCCTACAAATTAAACAAATAAAAGCAACAATGTACATTAGCCTTGATTTCTTTGCAGTAACATCAAGTTATCAATGTTGCTATTTATCATGAATGTAAAGATGATACCATACACCCATTTTCATGACAACAAATGGTTACTCATGCCAAATGCAAACAAAAAGAGTACGGAGCAAGGGAAATGTGGCATTTTTTGGGGGATAAGTGGGAAAGTAGCATTGATTTGCATAAGAAATAAATTTATTTTACTTGCCTCAAATGCAGAGCAAGATAAGGGCTGTCATTCTGGCGCATTCTAGAAATCAACGTGTTTCCAAGTTCTTCAATTGGAGCCGAATATTTTAGTGCCCTATAATTTACTCGGCACCTCAGCTTTTGTATGGAACTTGGGATATCATTATTGGCAAGACGAGAATCTGTGTGAGTAAAATAGATTACTTTATGCTGCTTCAAAATTGGGAGGACCTCTGCCTTATAATAGCTAACCTAAATCAAAGAATGTACATTAGTTAGTAGCTACTAATGTCAGAAGGAACCAGTAATACAAGATACATGTATGATATGATTGACTCAAGCAAATCCTCTTGTACAGTCGTATGAATGGGGTTCTCAAATGATTTCCATTTCAAGCCAAAAACAGAAACAACCATCCTCAATGATAGGTGTATTATTTATTTTCTGTATAGAATGTGCCAATAACAAGATAGGGTTGTGTTGACCTTAGACCAAGATATTGGTGTTTTGCTAAAAGGTTCAATTCCAGCATACTCGGGTGGTATCGTCTCAACTACGTGGACATCATCCTTCAAGGTCTTGATGAAGTGCTGCCAGTCAAACAGATCTTTAAAGCCACTGCAAATATATCAAACCAATCAATTAGCTAAGGATACAACTATAATGCATGCAATGCAACACTCTTGTGTGACATAAGTAGCCAACAATAGATGTCAAGCATGTCAACCTAGAGAATAACCATAAGTTAGCCATACATTAATATCAATAGATGTAGGTTTTTTAACGCTACAAGAAGAAAGCCTTATGTAGTTAGTGTGGAAATGTATCATTGAGAACTGATCAGAGGGGCTGCAAGAATCATTCAATTCCATACCTTCCTTGTCTATCCACTAGGGTATAAACCAACATTTATTTTGATACATAGTATGGCATATTTGTGTCCAAAAACATGTAAATGCAGGCTATTGGCTTAAGTATTCAACATTCAGTCAAATCGGATTAGGAACTGATGTACTCTTAGGTGCAAAACAAGCAATCTGAAACATTAGCACAATACAAAAAGAAACTAACCTTTCATCTGCCCAATATGAGGTGTGATCAAGTGAAGGAAGGACAAGTGTTGCCTTCATAACCTTAGCAACAGCAACCATATCACAGATCTGCATTCTAAAATTATTGATACATCAAACTGTAATAATAATAGAAGGTCAGGCTAAAAAAGCAATGAGAAACACACAACAAACGGACCCCAAATCTCATCTGATTCAAACCACCATTAGCATTTACAAGAATGCAGCCATTTGTCTTTGCATCTAGCTCTGCCAAGAAAGCAACATTTAGAAGCTTAGAACAAGCAAAAACATAGAAATCAATTGCAACTTTGCAACATAAAAAAAAAAAAAATCAAGATGTCAGTGAACACACACATAGAAAGTAGGGAGAGGGTATTAACAAAGCAGTAAGAATTCCATACTTTTTTTATTCTTTGAATGGTCCGTGCTTTTCTTGTTCTTTGAATGGTCAATGCACTGGGTGAAAGTCTCACTATTTGGTTTTGACCAAATACCTGAATGCTGGATAAGAAATGAAACAAACCTCAACATTCTTTTTGCTAATCGGAATAATCAATTTTAAATGTTTTCATTAATCATGTTCTTCCTGCAAACCTATCAGAAATGAGACAATAAATTTAAGATATGGATTTTAAACTTACTTCTGTTACGTCTGATGTCACTGTCATTAAGATTCGATCAGAGTCACTTCCTCCCTCCCTGAATCGATAATCGTGAGAGCCTTGATCCATTAGCTTTAGTCGATTGTTGGAGGGATTAGATAAACCCTAATTATAATGATAGAGATAGCAAATTAGCAACGAACAATTTAAACAATGTTCTACAAGTTATCTAGAATTAAAACATATCCTATGCGTTAATAAAAATATATGGAGTAACATAAAATTAATGTTTTGCACAAAAGTTGACTCAAAATTCTGTTCCAAGGGATATACTAAGCATGCTTAGTCCTCAACTAAAAGAAGGTGAAATTCACACTCAGGCCACGCCCCATATAACGAAACTTGAATATTCTGCTATAAAAATCCAGAATCAGACCAGCATTAGAAGCAGAACTTCATGTTTCTATCCAAATATCCCAAATTTGATTAAGAAGAGTGCAACTTCTCTACTCCTAGGCTAATTTGTGGTCTTCCATTGCAAAACAATGCTTCAGCAACTAATATATATGTTACTCCCTAAATTCTTCTTTGTATCAACAAATATTTTCCTAAAGGAAGAAGTGCACAAGATAATCACCCATTAATTTCACAAGCAAGATAATTAAAAAGCCTAACAGTCTCCAAAAAAAAAATCACATATTTCACATTGATCCATCTACATTAAATACCAGTGCAAGTCAATTCATAAACAGCTATAGCAAAATACTGCATAAAATTCAATAATTCATAAAATACCTGATTTGGTGTCACGGTTTCGATAGTAGATCCAAACCAACCAGTAGCACAAATCTTAAAAACACATAAAAATAAACAAACCCCACAAAAAACCAAGAACATCCAATGCCCAAGCTTCTTCCTCTCTTTCAACCCAAAATCCAAAACCATAGATCCAACACTTGGCCTCTTCAACAAACCTTTTCTTTGGCTCAACCCCTCGATTGAAACCGAACCCACAGCTCCAACCTCTGATCTGGGTGAGTTTAATGGTAGATCAATCTCATGATGCACGCTCAAGTTATTGCCGTTACAAGAACCAACAGTGTTGTTACTGGTGGTGGTCTGGGAGTTGCCATTGTTGCGCTTGAATGAGTGAGCTCGGCGAGTCATTGGACCCGAGAAACGCGGGCTGTTAACTCGCTGTGAAACGCCATCGCTGGTGTTATGGTGGTGACCCATAAATTTAATACTCTTTACAATCTTCCAATACTCAATTATTTATTTATAGTAATAAAAGCATGCAGACTAAGGCTGTTGATTAAACGTTCATAAACAAAAACCACGCAGAGAAAATAAGAGAGAGATTTAGCAGTATCTGGCTTGTATTTCTCTCTTTGTCTGTGGGATTTTTGAGTTCTGAAAACAATGACTCGGAAATTTCTAATAAGCGTGTGTTAGGACAGGACAGTGGCGTCATGCCTTGCTGCCGGATTGGCCTCCTGAGTTGTTCTATTACGCGGAAATGGGAAGAAACAATTATGAATCAGTTACGCATGTCTTTCGATTTAAACATGTAAATATATTATTAAAAAATTAATTATTTATTACATAATAATTTATAATTAAATAATAAAGATTTATTTTAATAAATTATTAATTTTTTAATAATATAAATACATGATTTAAGTAAAAAGTATATAAATTAATATGATAAATTATTTATATAAAAAAATTTTTCTAAAATTGAAACAGATCTTTTTGACTTTTATTTTTTACTATAATCTTAGTTATTCTCAGACTTTGTCTTATTTAAATTTTGAACGTATTTTCTTATGATTATTTTTGAAATAAATTGAAATTAAAAATATTTTTTTATCAATTAAATTAACGAGTTTTAAATAAGCCCCTTTAAAATATTATGTCCTTTCAATCTACCCAAATTGTAAGAATTGTATATATACTTATATGCCCCTAAATGATTGGATTTTGTATTTATTATTAATTTCATTTATTCGAATATCATTTTTATTTGAGAAAAGGGTTTCAAATTCTATTTTTCTAAAAAAATTATGTATCAACCACTTTAACCAAATGGTTTACATTTTTTTTCTTCAAGTTTTAGGTTAAATCGATTGTATAGTTTAAGAGTTACTATTATTTTGCATTATAAATGGCTTAAATTTGACTCTTAAGTTGAATTTTAAATTACACTCGGGCATTTGTTTTTTTAATTGGTGCATATACTTATTTAAAAGTATGATTCGATTTTTTTTTTAATTTAAAATTTATTTCTAAGAAAAAAGACATTTAGGTTTCTTTTTTAAATTTTTTTTAACCAAAGTAGAGTAGAGTAGGGTAACATGGTTAGCGTTTGTGAGACCTTGTTGTATTGATTTATAGTATAAAATAATGATAAGTAGTTATTATGTTCGATAAAATTTTTAGAAAATTATTAGTTAGACAGATTTGGACTATTTTGCTAAGTTTTTCAATATCTAATCTGTTTCACATGCTTAAATAAGTAAACTGGTTGCAGTCTTTTTTTTTTTTTTTTAAACGTGGTTCACTTATTAATTTTAAAAATAAAATAAAATTAAAACAAGCATCTCATCTTGAAAAGAAATTAAGAAAATTTGGGAAACAATATTTTATAGTACTAATTATAAAAACCTTTTATAATAACAACAAAATTAGCATTTAAACAAAGTTTAAATTTGTTATTAATATATAGTCTCATGTTCTATTAATAGAATATTAATTTTATAATTTTAATTTTAACAATTTTAAATATTAAAAAAATTTTAACTTTATTATTGAATCGGATGTTGCGGTTGCCATATTGTACAGGAATATATCAAAATAGAGAAATCCACCATTAATGTAACAAATACAAAAGCAAAGCTACACAAAAGAATTCCAACTTTTCTTTTCTTTTTTTCTTTATATATATTTTTGTAGATATTCGAAAGGGTCTAAATCTGATACCGAAGAAATCTTTTCCTAATACTTTAGGATATGGACCTCCTTGTAATATACTTCGTGTCGTCTACTTTGATCTTGTACTGTTAAAAAATAACCTACGAATGTGATTTTTTATTTATTAATAATTAAACCCCGTCACTCTTGTTTCGATTACTTGTTTGTCACTGTTGGCACGATCATTATATAATTTTATGCATTTTTTAATATATATTTTATCACTTTTAGTTAGTTATTAGTTCAATAATATTGAAAATTGATTTTAAGATTGAAAATTTTAAATTCAAACTTTAATTATAATTTAAAAGGCAAAAGAGACAAAATAAATTGTTAAAAAATATATATTAATATTGTTTACATTTTTATTGTTTCGTGATTCGACAAAAACAATAATTTTAACAGTGTCTACACTTTTGAGATTGAGACAGATTGATTGCGATTCATAATCGTTGGGTATAATAACAATAAAACAATTCTTAAAAAAATAATTGTAAATATAGCATATTTACTTAAGCTCATATGTATAATCAAATTTTCATAATTAATTTTTAAATATCTATGAAAGAAAAATATAAAATGATTAATTTATAATGATATATTTTTTATTAAATGATGGATATTTTTAAATTTTATCATATTATTTTTCAAAACATTTTAAGATTATTATTTTGATTCATTTATAATTTTATTTTTAAAATATTATTTACAAAGATTAAGTTATTATTAACAATGAAAAAGAGTTATTTTTTGTATCAGTTGAATTAACTTTTCTATAAAAGATTGTTTTATGATGAAAAGGAAAGTGAAAAAAAAAGGTGCCTATAAAGTTTGAACCCCGTTAAACAAAAACAATTTTAGTTAATTTCGAAGTACCAAAAAGAAACGGATAAACATGGGTGATGAAAACGAAATGGAAATAAATCCAGCCTAAGAGATATACATGACCAATTAGCATTTGGTTGGTAAGCCAGGGTCAGCCCACCGAAATTGACTTGAATGAAAGTACAAAGTTACCCATCCATATAAAATACGATTTTTAAAATAAAGGTCAGGATTTTAAAGTCACTTCCTTAGTTTCTTATTAGAAAATAAAGTAAATGGAGGCCAGATTCTACGCGGTGGAGAAATGGTGGCTGCATGGTAAATCGTGAAGACTTTTTTTGTTTTCGTTTTTCAGACGGTGGATGCATTTGCATGGAGAAATAATAATGAGAAAGAAAGTGATGGCACGTTAGATTTCCACGCTCACAGGGCCCTACACACTAGATTTTCCACTAATCAGCTGTCGTTTAGACTTGATAGCTTTTGATTTGAGCCTTTTTCACACGAGTTTGTATACATTCTTTTAAGTTTTAAGATTTTTGTAAGAAAATTAGACGAATGAACTTTTTAATATATATGGATTTTTTAAGTAAATACTTAAAACTAGTTGAGAAGAAGATTATGTTAAAAAAAAATCTGAAAAAATTCTTCAATCATGAGCCACGGTCCTAATTGCATCCTTAAAACAACCCATGTTGATGTTGGTATATATTTACACTAGCTTTTTAACTCGTACAATATACGAGATTTTTTATTAAATTTTTCATAATTTTAAATTTATTTTTTAAGTATTTATCTAATATATAATCATATATTTATAAATATTAAATTACAATTAAATGATAATTTATATATTATATATTATAAATAATATTGTTCATCTAAAAAAAATCTAAATTTTGATGAATTTTTAAAAATTATAAAAATAATTTTTTTCATTAAAAAAATATTTTCTTTAATTTGTTTGCTAAATACTAAAAATTTTACTACCACTTTTTTCGTTTGATAAAAATAAAAAATCAATATTTCAATAATAAAAATTAATAATTGTTTTTATCATAATGTTAATTAGATAGTGTATGTATATATTTGATTGAACAACAAATCATAATTATTAATTTTGTTATAATCATTTACTTTTTATTAGTTCTTATTTTTAACATATTTCAAGTAATTATTATACAAATATATTGGGCTAACAATTATTTTTATATATGTTAACAAAATAAAATAAAATTTTAAATAAAAATGAAACAATAATTCTTTATGTTATTCTTAAAAACTTTTTTGAAATATTTTTTTATTTTTAATCATTTTTAATATAATTGTTAGTATTTTTTATGCGCTAGATATAGTAATGATTATCATTCTTCTCATATCATCAATTGTAGACAAAAAAATTCAATAATAAAAAATATAGCAAAAGAAAATAAAGAATATAAATTTAAATATTAATTTATCAATATTAAATATATACAATAATAAAAGAAAATAAGTTAATAAATTAACAAAGAATAAAAAAATGAATAAATGAATAAAACAAAAATATATAATACAAAAAGTTAATTATAATCAATATAAGCAAAATTAAAAAAAAAGTTAAAGAGAACCAAATAAATTAACCAAATATATAATATAAAAATATTTGAATTAGAACATAAATAAAATATTATATTTGTTTTCAAAGTGAAAATATGTTTTCATCTAACTTTTTTATCAACATTCTAATGTCTCATATTTTCATATAAAGATGTAAGCTTTTATTACTTTAAAAATATATGCTTTATAGTCAATAATTCATTAACTTATCTAAAAGTATTAAATATAAATAACCTATTAAATAAATTTTAATTTTTTATATATTTTGATTTGAATTTAAATAATTATCTAAAAATATTAAATTTAAATAATTTATTAAATGCATATTTGAAACTGCCATTAATTTAAAAAAAAAGATAAATTATGATTTAATATTTTTGAATTCAAATTTTACGCAAAAATTTCAATTTTAGATAAATATTGATTTCAATTTAAATAATTATCCAAAATATTCAATTTAAATAATTTATTAAAAATTTTTATTTGATAAATAAAATAATATAAATATTATCTTATGTGTCATTAAAAAAATTTATTCACTTAGATATTCACATAAACAATTTTAATCATGTAATTTTATATGTTGAAATATAATATATATATATTTATATATATTTATATAGATTTCTATCCTACATGTTGAATGGAGAACTTTTGTGAAAGCAGAAAGTTCTTTGAAAGCTTCAGATTAAAATGGTCCACAATGTTATCCAACAAACTTCTTTCAATTCGCCGTCACGTGGTTTGTTTTTTTATTAGGGAAGCAGAACCTTCCCCCTCATCGGTACTTCATAAATCTCTCAAGTTTACACGCTATATGCAAGTGTTTCTTTTTTTCATTCAAAAAGAGAGAAAAAAAAAAAAAAAAAAAGAGACGCCCATGAATTTGAGTTCAACGTCATTTTGTCTGAAAACAAAGTACATCTGCTGTTTTAACAACTGGGAACTTGCCATTTCAACCATCATATGGGCAATGCAAAATTTATATCAGCCCCATCAGGATAGAGTTTTTATTTTGTCGAGAGCGAATTGATAAAAATTTAATTAAAAAAATTAATGTTCAATAAAATAATAGTTTAA